CCAAATCTATTCACTTTAAAAGGGTTTTATGTTGCTTTGTTTTATTTTATTTTATTTTCTATTTTGTTTTGTGTATGGTATGTTTATTTCTGTTTGTTTATTTATTTTTATTTTTATTGATTTTGAAGGTTTTGGCGAGCTGAATTATTGAAGTATTATGATTTTGATTTTGTACTATAGTTTTAAGTCGTTTTCTCGCTGGTCCTGTGTTCGAGCGAGGAGGGTTGCGTTGGGTAACCCACGGGTGCCTGCGGCTTCCGCGGCTTGGCGGGGGACTGTGACAGGGTTATAGCGATGTTCGCTAGCCCTGTGTGCGGCACTCTCCTTGCGTGAACGCAGCGACCAAGTGTACGCTATATAGCGACTACATACTTGTGTGTACTACTATTTGATTCCGCAGCATAGCTTCATAGTTTATATAAATTACCATTAATAAAAAATGGCCCTATAATTTGATTACCTAGTATTCCAGCCCAGACATTTAATTTTTGTGGATATTGTGATTTAGTTTTTCTTGCCTAATAAGGATTTTCAGATGCCCAGTATCTACAATTATGCCTATTCAAATTTGCGTCATGTTGAAATGTAGCTTCATCTCAAAATACTATATTAGATAAAAAGTTTGGGTTTTGAAATATGCGAGCCGTCATATCATCACAAAATTCAACGCGATGATCGAAATCATTTTCGTGGAGGCTATGTATCAGTGTTACTTTGAGTGGATGAAAATTCGCTTTCAGTAGTACGTTATGAACAGATGATTTATTTATTTTGTGCTTTTGAGCGGCTCTACGAATGGAAGTATGTACATAGGTAGTGAATGTTAACAAAACATCTAATGATTTCTCTTGACCACTGACTGACCTTGGTCTGCCTGATCTAGGTAGATCACTAATAGTCCCGGTATTTTTAAACCTTCTAACATTTTTTTGAATTTGTGACAGGGTTATAGCGATGATCGCTAGCCCTGTGTGAGGCACTCTCCTCGCGTGAACGCAGCGACCAAGTGTACGCTATATAGCGACTACGTACTTGTGTCGTTGCAGGATCTAGAGAGAGGAGCGCGACGATCGGCGAGGTGTCGCCGTGAGTGCGAGTGAGAGCGAGAAGAGCGAGAGAGAGAGAGAGAGAGAGAGCGATTTTGACTGATTTTTGACGGCGAGAGAAGTGGGAGCGCGGCGGTGTGAGGCTTAGAAATTAAGAGAGAGGAAGGGCAATTAGGCGGGAGCTCTCAAGTAATTAGGGCCATCTAGAGAGAAGACTGGACGAGACGATATTTCGGCCGGAAAGGAACGACTGTCAGCGGTGCAACTGCCACGATTGCCAGAGAGCAAGTCGTTCGAAGGAGAGCGAGTACACGCAGCGACCATTCGCCGTCTACGAGGTAAAGGCCGTGCTGCGGCCCTTCCTGCAGCAACCTCAATCGTCGCTAGGGCGCCAGTCCCTGCGGTTCTACGTTTTCGCCGGCGTCGCCTCTCTGTCGACGGACCGTCGGCATCCGATGGGTCCGAAGCCAATTTATCTCTCTCGCGCCAGCTCTCGCTCGATTACGGACATCAGCGTATTTTGATTTTATCGCGCACGCTGAGCGATCTCGCTCGCGTGATCCCGCGAACTCTGGTCGTGGAAAGGTTGAACGAGTGCGCTCGCCGCGGCGAAGTTAATCTTGTAGCGATATTTGTGAAAAGGCGTCAATAAATGAGATCGCCATATGTAGTATAATTGAATTAAAGTGTCCGATTCTTTGTATCAACCTTCCCCAACCAGAGCGAACTTCGGCTTGTGAAAGTCAGCGTCGGCTTTCTTTACCGAGAAAGAACCCAGAAAAATTAGCAGAGACCGACACAAGGCGCACGGAGGCTGACCACTCTTGCAAATTGTTGAAAATGAAATTAGAGGTATATCAGCTCTAAATGCTGCATTGGAAAGATCACTCACAGCCCTATAAAATAAACAGACGGTTGAAACTATCGCGATAAATGCACTAAAGGTGATTCCGAAATCTGACTTTGAAGAGGGCTTTAATAAGTAGAAACATCGATATAAGTATATTATACAATCAAATGGAGACTACTTTGAAGGATGCCATCCCCGGATGACGAAGATTAAAGATTAAGCGCCGATTAATCGAGGTAGGTCGGATACTTTTGAGACAGATCTTGTATATTAGAAATTTTACTAAAAAAATAAGAAACAACCGCATTTTTAATGCTGAATCAGGAGGAAGTGAAAAAAAGCTATTTATTGAACGTTCTAATTAAGTATCTAGTGTAACATATTTACGTATGTTATTTTGAAAGTTCTAACACGTTTACATATAGATGAAGAGGTGCCGGTATAGTGATACAACTTCAATCAAACTTTTGGCTGTTTTAGAATACTTTTAAATATATTATTTTTATATAGTTTGGTCAGAAATCGTTACAAATTTTCGAAAAAATGGTAGAACAGTATTCACCATGTCTAAATTACAATTACAATACATAAATACATACAATTACAATACACAATACATTACCACAAATACATAAGATAAGAATATCATGAACAAAGTAATTATATGAGATGAAATATTCATGACATCTAAGAATGCATTTGAAACAATAGACCGACTTTTGAAAAACATGAGTAATGTCAAAAAACCATTTAGCGGTAAAATTGGAATTGTATCTAACGATTTTCGACAAATATTACCATATGTAAAACATGAAAATCATATTAATATATGAAAACTCAGTAAAATTCAGTAATTTGTGGGAAAACTTTGCTAATATAACACTTACCGATAATCTGATTTTCTGATATCGATGATACATTAACCCTTTGAAGCACAGTGTCCATCCTGATGGACACATTGATTTATTGCTTCTTTTGCCATTTTAGAACAACATTATGGATTTCAACAGGGACTTTTGCATTCTTTCAGTTCATTAATAGTTCAAAAACATAATTTTTCAGTTGAAATCAATATATTGGGTTATTTTTTTAAATTTTTAAATGAACAAAGAAGAAAAAAATTGAATTTTTGGGGAGAAATTCATTATTGACGCGAATAATGAGTGTATCCTTTTCAAATTTGTTATACAAAGGTTTTTGGGGTCGCTGAATAATAATTTGACATCAAATTTCAAAAATTGTGTATCCAAGATGGCGGATCTAAAATGGCGGGCAAGAAGATTTCCTATATTGATACCAATACTCTAAAATTCTTATCTAACGGGTTTTAGGGGTCGCAGATAACGATTCTGATATCAGGTTTCCGAAATAATGCTTTCAAAATGGCGGATATGTATATTTTTATATTGGCTTGAATATTCTCAAACTCATATCTAAAGTGCCTCAATCTCAGTGATAATCAATATCATACTAGTTTTCTGAAATTCTGCAGCCAAGATGGCCAAAGGATATGATTGATGTACGTGCTTATTCGCATTACTTGAAAGTATAATATCTCAGAATAGTGGATACTTCTTTCACTCATTCTCGGCATTACCCGGAGCTTACAACGAGGACGTGATGAGTTCAAGCTCCATTTACGTTTTTTTTTGTATATTTCATATTTTTTATTTTTTTTGTATTTTTTATATTTTATTTTTTTTTTTATTTTTTATATTTTATATTATTTTTTATTTTTTATATATTATTTTCTGCATTTTTTATGTTTCATTTTCAGGGTTTTTATTTCCTCTTTTCCTCCATTCTTCCTGTAGAAGGATCCCCTTTGCATTATCAATAAATTTGTACTGTAATATTGTTACTGAGTATTCTTTGAAATTAGACATAAAAACATGTTCTTCATACAACCAGAGCAACAAAACTCATTACTGTCTATATGTGATGTTTTTGAAAACAATTTCTTTCCGGTAAAAGACACAGAGGAACATTACAAGTACTACAAATCCATCTCGTCTTCTGTGGCTTATCTCTTGTAGAACAGTGGTTACATCTTTTATATGTATCTGAGACTTGTGGCATGTGAGCAGCATTAGAAAGTCTCTTTTCATCAGGTACTTTGATTTTTGCATGGCTTGGAGTATTTGGTGCCGTTCTTTTCCTACCTTTTGGAGTTGGGATCTTATGTACCACCAATTGTTCTACCAATCTCATTCGGAATTTTTTCAATGACAAAAGTGGTTTGATTTGTTTTTCCTTGTACAAAATGAATCCGTTACATATGCAGAGATCAATGAAGTGCCAAAAAATTCTAAACCACCATTTTTTGGACTTACGTTCAATCTGGTAAGTAGATATTGCACGATCCGCATAGTCGACATATCCCATGTGTGTGTTATAGTCTGAACACAAGACAGGACTGTTGACAGGAGTTAGAGTACTATCTTTTTGCCTCCGATTCATAACAGTTACTTCGGTAGGGTCGTGAAAATTGGATAAAAAGTATACTGGTTTTTTATCCATCCACTTTATCCATGTGAGTCCTGATGTCGAGGTCTTGTATTCGTACTCTTCAATAACCATTTTTTATCAGACTTATCACTTTTGGGGAGATTCGCGCGATTAGATCGTACTGTGCCACATGCAAGGATGTTATCCTGTTTTAGAGATATTAGAAGCTCTACTCCTGTGAAAAAATTATCAAAATACACCTGGTGATTATGACCAACAAGGTCACGTGTAAGATCACGAACCACACGTGCTCCTAATTGTTTTTCAGGATTATCTGTTTTACCTGTGTAGATCTGAAATTGACAAACAAATCCCGATTCATCTGCTCGGGTCCAAACTTTGTAACCACGTTTAGTTGGCTTGGCTGGCATATATTGTTTCATGCTACTTCTCCCCTTGAACTTGATCATTGATTCATCAATAGCTTGGTGATGGCTTGGTTTCCAGCATTCTCTGAATGTTTCAGAAAGAGTGTCGAGAAGAGGTCTTAGTTTATACAATTTATCGTATTCTGGATCTCCTTTTGCTGGTTCTTTTGAATTATCATTGATATGCAAATGAGACAAAAAAAATCCAAAGCGATTCACAGTCATCAGTTAAGAAATATATGAATCATGGAATTGAGGGCTATTAGACCAATAATCCCGATACGAAGGTAACTTCTTGTAACCCATATGGATATTGATCGCTATGAAAATTTTCAACTCATCTTTGGTGATAAGATCTCCTTTTGACTTCTTTTGAGAAATAAACAAATTTGTTTGCTCTACAATAACATCTAATAGAGACTCAGGGAACAAACAAAGAAATATATCCTTTGGACAAGACGCGGAGTCAGGGATGATGGGCCCGTAACTCCTACTGAAAGGTAAATCAGTCTTTGGAATACTCGTCGATCTCCAAATTTCACTTTTATTTGAATCTGTAGTGGTTGTTTCGTCGGCAATTTCTTCTTCGTGTGCCTCATCTTCGAGAAGATTGTTGATTGCAGGGGCAACATGATCTACTCTGCGATCCAATACCTCATCTTCATCATTAGAATCGCACAACCCATCAACAGACTCTGAATCACTAGGAATTTCATTCACAATTCGCCTTCTTCTCCCCATAGTTACAAAATAAATCTCTTCTAAATTTGTTGATTTAAAAAATATGAAAATTGAAGAGTACTACGTAAAAATTGATTCCTAATTGTCGGGAAAAAATGCCCGCAAAACAAGAATATTATGAACACAAATATACAAAACGCCTATTTGCTCTTCAACTAATATAGTGAATCCACTCCGGTCTTTTAGTCAATGAGTGTCAACAAATATATGGATGACTCCAGAAGCAAAGAGCCGATCTTTATTTATTTTTCGTAGGTCGGGGGTTGAGGGCCTTTTGGCGATTTGTATGAGCACCAAACACTTTGTATTGAATGTACTCTCCATGGGTCTGAGGGCCATATATATATATATATATTTTTTTTTTGAGAGATTCATTCACCTAATCAGAAAATAAAATACTAGAATATTTGAAACAGAATACTAAATTATATTATCAGATTTGTTATCAGCACGACCGAAAACCCTTAGAAATTACATTTCATGAAAATGAAGTCCCTAAAAATGAAATTTGATATCCGAATTTTTGGATCCGCCATTTTGGATATATTATTTCGGAAATCTGATATCAGATTCGTTATCAGCGAGCCCTAAAAGCCTTTACATTGAATTTTGAAGTATTCAGGCCAATATAGCAAAAAATCTATGTCCGTCATTCTGAATCCGCCATCTTAGATGCGAAATTCAAACAATCTAATGTCAGATTCATGATCAGCGACCTCAAAAACCCCTATATATAAATTTTCATCTAAATATCCTGGAGAGAAAAATATATGCTTCAAAGGGTTAAAAAATGGCTTTTAGACGTGATGAAATAACTCTGAGCTCAGATTCAGATTCGGCACGTTCAAATCCGCTGGAAACATATTATCTGATTTCTAGATTTTTCCTATTTTAAAATTTTGTCTGCCTGTGTTCGACTAATCAGCATACCAATACAAAAATAAAATTAATTTTATTGATTTAACTAGTGACTTTAGTGATTACAGAATAATAGCTGACTGGAATTTTTTCGCGAGCTGTCACGGTAAAAGTGCTTGCGGTGAAGCCGAAAAAAGAGTGAAAAGACCTATTGGAAATATTAGCATAATATCTTTTCTATTCATACCTTCATTTTGTTAAGTAATGAAGATAAATCAAGATTTAAATGTAAAAAACCTTCTAGTCTGCAGAATATAAAATCAGGATAATTTATAAGTAATTAAAAATAAATGAATATGATTATTCATATTTATTATTATTATGTTATTAATTTTAATTTATATTATACAGGGTGTCTCAGACCACCCGTCCACCCCCCAAAGTTGATAACACAATTATATACAGGGTGGTGAAAAAGTATGGAAACACCTGAAAATCTCAGAGGGTTGGTCATAAAAATAAAATTCTTAAGGTCAGGTCCTATATAACTTTCAACGAGGAATCCAGTGATGACCTTGAATTTGACCTTGGACCTTATCTTCAAGGTCATTTCAAGGTCAACCTCATTTTTTCAAATGAGAACCCCTATTTTTGATGCCGGAATCAAAATGAGCGGGAAATTTTACGTCCGGATACGTGGTTAGGTATGAGGTTAAAGTAACCTCTGGAGGTCAAATAGAGGTCAATGTCGGAAAAAGTATGGAAACCCCTGAAAATCTGAGCGTTAGTCGTAAAAATAAAATTGTTAACGTCAGGTCTTATGTAACTTTCAACGATGAATCCAGTGATGATCTTGAATTTGACCTGGGACCTCACCTTAAAGGTCATTTCAAGGTCAAATTTCTTTTGTTAAATGGGAACCCACACTTTTGACATCGGCAATTGAAAGAGAGTCAAATTTTACGTTAAAATATGCCTTGAGGTCCAAGGTCGACGTGACCTCTGGAGGTCAAATAAAGATTAACAGTATATTTATATCGAAACTCCAAAAATGTGTCTATTTTGATTATTAAACAAGAAAACTAATTTCTCAATCCAGAATCCTTCTTTTAGCGCTATCCAGGAACAACGACGTGGACGTAGAAGGATTCTGTTCCCTTTGGGGGGCTTTTTTAGAGTAAGTTCCGCTTGCCTTTCACTTGGGGTGCTTTGTTGAATAGGTTTTAGTATCACTGATCTCGATCACGCTACCCTGAATCTGAATCGGGATACACGGCTACACGGAAACACGGCGATTTCCAAAATTACTGAATAAGTTGGCTAAAATAAGAAAATAATTTAGAAAATCAGATATGTAGTTTGTAATAATTTGCAAAAACGATTCATTTACGAAAATTTGCTAAAATGATTCATTTGCATAAATTTGGTAAAACGTTTCATTTGCAAAAAATTTCTAAATCGTAGCCTTTCAAACAAATAGCGAAAACGAAGTTGGATCCCGCAAAAATTCGTTTCTATTTTCATTAACATTCATTTACCATTCAAACCGTTACATTAAAAAAGTATTGCTAAGTTTAAATTAGATAAGAAAAAATTATTTTCGTTACGCCCGCTTCTACAAGAAAGAAAGAAAAGAAAGAAAGCCAACGTATCCACATTTTCAAATGAAAATCCGACGTGTCCGCTTTTACAAATAAAAACTCAACTTGTCCGATTATTCCGCCAAACTGACGAAATGTATCTTTAACAAAATAGCTGTCTCATTAAAAGTCGAAAATTCAATATTATGTGTGGCTTTTTCATGTCCGCGTAGTTACATAAATGATATTGTTAAAAAAAGGTTTTCTTTAGATAGAAAATAAATTTATGAATGAATGAATTTTTATTTCAATTCGCTTGACGAATACATTTTTGGTATTACTGCATAAATAACACTCTGTAGTTGCAAGAGATAAAATTTGACAAAATCACCAAATATTTTTGTTGTAAATTAGTTTTGTACGAAGAAGTCATTTTGAAACCAAAATGTTTCGATTGTCCGAAAGAGAACGGATATCACTTTTGATGATGAGAGGTTGGGGTGATATGCATAGGTCATATACACAGGTAACTAATCTGTTTAATGCAACATTTCGAAACGATGGTACTCCTATATCAAGAGGAACTGTTTCAAAAACGATAAGACGTTTTGATGACACGGGATCTGTTCGAAATCGTCCTGTTGCTGGTAGACCATCGACAGCAACAAACGAAGAAAAATCTTTACATGTTTTACAGTCTTTTGTAGAAAATCCTCATGAGACTCTTCGATCTGCAGCTTTACAACACGACATCCATCACACATCTGTTCTTCAAATTTTGAACAGAAACAAATTGCATCCCTTCAAAATTAAACTCGTGCAAGAATTAAATGAAGATGATCCTGATCGTCGCACTGAATTTTGTGAGACGATGATGGAAATGATAACTGACAATCCACAATTTTTAGGAAATATTGTCTTTTCAGATGAAGCAACGTTTCAGTTAAACGGTAATGTCAATCGACATAACTTTCGATATTGGTCTGATACAAATCCTCACTGGATGGACGCAACTCACACTCAATATCCTCAAAAACTAAATGTGTGGGCAGGAATTGTAGACGACACAATAATAGGTCCCTTTTTTATCGAAGAAAATTTAAATGCACAAAATTATGAACAGCTATTGCGAAACCAAATTGTTCCAGCAATACAAGCTGTAGCGTCGCGACACTACCATGTACATAATTACTAATACTCGCGCGCGTAGACATGTGTGTGCGTGTGTGTGAGTATCGGGCACTAGAGCCCCTAATCCTAGCGCGGTGGCAGCACCTACCGGTACGGCGCCGCTCGAGTCGAAACGACTCTCTTCTTCCGGCCAAGCCGGCAGTAGTCGACTACTTAGCGTCACGCACGGAGCTTCTCCGCGTTCTCGAGACACTTCCCGCGATAACATCTATATCTTTGCATCACTATGCAAAACTAACATCGTTCGGAAGTTGAACGGGCTTCCGATCATCACGAAAGTGATTCATCATCATCTATCATCTATCCTTGTTTTCACTAAAACAAGCATCAAATCATTGTGTGTGTGTGACACGTGCGTGCGTGCGTAGCAGCGGCTATTGTTCTCGGTGCGACGTCATTTTCGCGAGTTCTCTCAACTTTCCTATCTTGTAATTTTCTCGAGTGTAAATAAAAAGGGTTTTTTATGCCTCACGGCTTTTTTCCCTCAAATCAGTGTTTCATTTTGTTAACCTATTAATTAATTAGAATCAGTGTAAAATCAATTAAAACCATACGAATGATGCCGCGAGCGGTGATTACTAATCACGCAGTTTCCGACATTCGTATTAACTAAAAACTAAATAACAAATAAATTAAAATCATTTCCCATTCTCTTATAAACTAGACTTCTTTATACTATAATAAAAGGTCACAACAATACACAAGCTGTAAAAGGAGACGATTTCGAAAACACATGGTTCCAGCAAGACGGTGCAGCACCATATTTTGCAGTTAATGTTAGAGGATTTTGAATGAAACATTCTTCGAAAGATGGATAGGTAGACGAGGTAGCATAGAGTGGCCTCCAAGATCTCCAGACTTAACACCATTGGATTTTTTCTTATGGTGTTATTTAAAAGATCGCGTTTACAGAACAAATCCAGAAAATCTTGATGAATTAAGACGTAGAATTATTGAGGAAACTGCTCTCATTACAAGAGATATGTTTCGACATGCAGTTCAGTCATTTTACATCAGGATTGGTTACTGCCAAGAAACAAATGGAGAACAATTTGAGCATCTGTTATAAATTTACTCATCTACTATAATAATTCATAAAAACGCCCTAAGTGAGAGGCAAGGGGAACTCACGATAATCCAGCACCCCGACGTGAGAGGCAAGGGGAACTCACGATAATCCAGCACCCCGACGTGAGAGGCAAGGGGAACTCACGATAATCCAGCACCCCGACGTGAGAGGCAAGGGGAACTCACGATAATCCAGCACCCCGACCTGAGAGGCAAGGGGAACTCACGATAATCCAGCACCCCAAAAGGAACAGAATCCTTCTACGTCCACGTCGTTGTTCCTGGATAGCGCTAAAAGAAGGA